CAGAAGAGGGTCACCAGGTGCAGGCCTTCGAAGGTGACAGCAGATCCACCTGTTCCCGTCACGCTCCGGTCACGCTCCGGTCACTCACTGTGCTCCCTGGTTCCCCCTCCACCCCCTGGTCCACCCCACCCCCCAGCTTCTTCTGTGGTGGACTGGAAGCTCTGGAAGCAAACACCCCCCAGAGTCGCTTCTGTCAAGCACTCAGAGCATAGCGGGCAGGAAAGTAACCAGCACCCTTTGAACCAACCAGCCTGCTTTGAAGGTCAGCTAGGGACCTGTGAATTGAAGAGACACAGCTGCCTCCGGAAGTCAAGAATGGGAGCCACGGACTCCTTCCAAGGAGATGCCCCACCTTGGGACCCGGGGAGTGTTTGCTGGGTGAGATCAATGTTGTCTCCCTGTCTTGCTAGATCCAGCAGTTTATACAAGACCTGTCGGATATCTGGTCAGAAGTAAAGAAGAAGGAGCAGCAGCTGGTCCGCGTGTAAGGAAGCGCTGTGCTGCTCGAATGTTCCGAGACACCGAGAGAGAAAGGGAAGAGGAAGGTCCCGATGAGCTCGTGGCCCAGCCCCTAGTCCAGCCGTTGCAGAACCATGGCTTCCCGATGCCGCACCCTTTGTTGCCTTCCCCTCCGGCCTCAGTCCACCCCAGCCCTTAAAAGCATTAAATGTTATAAGAAGTCGGCTCCGCCGCTCCCTCTCCTTTTGAAAACCAGTTCACAGAGAAGAGCCAACGAACAAGGGGAGAGGCACACAAGCATGCCGTCTAAGAGCCGGGCACTCGGGAGGCTGGAGAGGCGGGCACCATGCCTTTGATGTGGGGGTATCTCTTGGGCTTCAGACTTCAACATACGGAAGCGTTTGGGTGGGCAACAGGGCTGCAGGCTGAGCACAGCCCGGGGCCCTTTCTCTCTTCTAGCACGCAAGAAGAAAATGGCTACCTTGTACCTCGTCAGGGTACAGGCTCCCGGGAAACTAGGAAGGCAGCTTCCCTAGGCAGCATTTCATAGGTGAAATGTGTACCCCCAAACCTCCCGTGTACTTCCTGTGTACCCCAAAACACGGAAACACAGTACAGTGTCTCCGGGGCAGGAACAGCCTGCGGGCTGCCCGGAGGCTAGCAAGAGACTACCAATGCGCCGAAAGGACAGCCTTGACTCACAGAAGCACCTTAGCAGGCTGAAATGATTGTTCAGACCAGTAAAAACCAAACCAAATAGGGGCCTCGGGTGACATTTCCAAACTGCCGGCCGCAGAGACCCCGAGTGAGAACAAGTGCCTCATGGACGCTGCCCTTGTGAAAAGGCCACAAGGCTTCTGGCACGCCCAGCAAGACACTTGTTCCAAGATGCTGGCTGCAGGGCCACAGGGGAGGGTTACATTCAAGTGTACTGCCCTGAGCTCAGCTCTAGAAGGCCTTTCACTTCCTAGCTAGCGTGCTTTTCATGTCCAGGCCGGGACCTTCCCTAAGTCCCCACAGGGGAGGCCACGCTGCAGCCCTCGCTTGTCAGACACGTGTGTCCTGTAGTTCCAGCTCAGAGGCTCAAGAGATCTGAAGCTCCGATCTAAAAGCCAGAAACCTAGACAAGGCCTCTGCACGAGCCTGTTGCTTGTCCAAACCTGGTGCTGTGGCCGGCGGCCACGGCCTCTGCTACCTGGGACACACTGCCCAGAGGATCACCTAGAGGCAGGAGTTTGAAACCAGCTAAGACAATATAGCAAGACGCATTAAGAAGAAACTTTGGGGAGCTGAGGTCAGCAGGTAGGAACACTTGCCAAGGGCACGTCCATACCCGAGTTCAAATCTCCAGCACCCAGGCACAAAGCCAGAAACGGCGTACTCCCTGTTAACATTGTGCTGTGTTGGGGCAGAGGTGAGGCTCACTGGGGCCTGCTGGCCACCAGCCTAGCCGTGGGCTCAGGGAGAGACCCCGAGTATTGGTCACTTTTCTGTTGCCATCATAAAACACCACGATCAAAGGCACCTTAAGGAAGAAAGGGCTGGGATTATGGTTGCAGAGGGAGAGGAGTCCACCGTGGCTGGGAGGCAGCAGAGCAGGAAGCTGAGAGATCTCATCTTTCACCCCAAGCCAGATGCAGAGAGGCAGCTGGAAGCAAGGCAGGGAATTAAGCTCTCAAAGCCTGTCACACTAGGCCTTCCTTCTACAGTGCCTGCCCCATACCCTCCCTGAAGGGTTTCACCAACTGTTTAAGTGCCTGAGCTGAGTTCTCATTCAAACCACCACACCCTGTCTCAGGAGGGTAAGGTGGAGAGTGATGGAGCAGGGCAATTAATGTTTTCCACTGGCCTCTGTGCGAGTGCTCGTGTGTACACACACACACACACACACACACACACACACACACACACACACGAACTATTGTTTCATAATCCCGAGAGATGGCTCAACAGTTGAGAGCACTGGCTGCTCTTCCGGACGACCCAGGTACAGTTTCCAGCAACTGCAGGGTAGCTCACAACTTTTTGTTTTATTTTATTTATTTACTTTTTGTTTTGTTTTGAGCCAAGATTTCTCCGAGTAGCCCTGGCTGTCCTGGACTCCCTCTGTACACCAGACAGGCCCCCGAACTCATGGAGATCCGCTGCCTCTGCCTCCCTGAGCGCTGGGATCGCAGGCGTGCGCCACCTCACCCGGCTTCACAGCTGTTTGTAACTCCAGCTCCAGGGAGTTACAAACAGCAGCTCTCCCAGCCTCTGCAGGCACCGGGCACACGCATAGTGACAGACATACATGCTGCCAAAGCACATAAAACAATGTTTGGGGGTTTTAGTTGTTTGCTTGTTTTTCCAGACAGGGTCTCTCTATGTAGCCCTGGCTGTCCTAGAACTCACTCTGTAGACCAGGCTGGCCTCAGACTCCTAGAGATCCGCTCTCCTCTGCCTCCCGAGTGCTGGGCTTAAAGGCGCGCGCCAGTACGCCTGGCCACAGAAGGTGATTTTAAAGACGTGTAATGGTCAAATGCTTGCTAGTACCCGAGCTTCATTCATCTGTCATCATCCATCAGCTCATGACACCGTAGCAACTAGCATTCAGCCAGATGAGGACACTAATACAAGACGAAATATCACTTGGTCAAAACACTTGGGCCAGGTGTGGTGCACATCTTTAGTCCAGCCCCGGGAGGCAGAGGCAAAGCCAGCCTGAGCACAGCCTGGTTCAAGGCCAGCCTGGTCTACATGGTGAGACCTCCCCCAACCCCCGCTTTAGAAACAGAACCAAAACATGGGATCGTAAGTGTTTCAGGCTTTTCCAGACTGTAATGCTCTCATATATAGACTGAGTCATCATAGGGAGGGACCCCAGCACGCTTGGCCTAAACACTAAATTCACTTGTTTTATGCTATGCCTTGCACACACTCTGAAGATGATTTTATTCAATATACATATATTTGGTCTTTCTAGACAGGGTTTCTCTGTGTAGCCCTGGCTGTCCTGGACTTGATTTGTAGACCAGGCTGACCTTGGACTCACAGAGATCCACCTGCCTCTGCCTGGGATCAAGGGCATGCACCACCACGGCAATTTTCATACTTTTGTGTGCTCGGTTCACACCAAGCCAGGTGTGAAATTTCACACTTACACCATCACATCTGTGCTCAAAGAGGTGTACGTTCTGAAGCATTTCAGATTCTGAAACACACACACACACACACACACACACACACACACACAAAGAAGTAAAAATGTGATAAAGAATTCGTTTAGGAGGCTGGATGACCCAACAGTGAAAAGCACTTGCTGCTCTCCCAGAGGACCCAGGTTCTATTCCAAGCACCCACACGGAGGCTCACAACCTCCAGTTCCGGGGGATACAGCACGCTCTTCTGGCCTCCAGAGGTACTGCACACACACGGTGCACAGACCTACAAGCAAAAACTCACTCTCATAAAAAATAAAGGAAGAAAATTGGGACTGGAGTGATGGCTCAGTGGGTGAGAGCACTGGCTGCTCTTACAGAGGACCTGGGTTCGATTCCCAGCACCCCCACAGCAGCTCACCAGAGCCTGTAACTCCAGTTCCAGGAGACCTGACACCTTCACACAGACATGCACATACCAATGCACATCAAGTAAAAAATAAATTATATGAAAAAGAATCAACTTAAAATCTCTAATTACTGAGAGTGTCTACATCTGGCCTCCACACAAATAATGCACACACACACACACACGGAAAGTTGGAAAGATCACTAACAAGATGGAAATCTCGTGGCTTCTACCCTGAGGACAGACAGAAGTCTATGTCACTCCTTGTCGCCTCGGAACTGGGTGATAAGAGTGCCCTGCAGAAGCTCAGTCCCTGGTCACAGAACTGAGCACACACCCTGGCCCAGGGTAGGAGGAGGATCTGTGAGATGAGGGAGACTTGCACACCCATCACAGAGGCAAGTTCACAGAGCGGCGAGAACACACCCAGTCACGGCACAGCTGCGTCTCCTCAGGCCCCCCAAATCGCCCATGGGAGGCTGCCCATGACCCGCCCTCACAGGACACACCAGGAGAAGGAATTCTGGGTAGAGGAGCCGACAAGCCTCCACTGACTCCACAACTGAGGAAAGGGAGGCTTTCCTTTTTGAGAGAGTAAAGCTGGCCCCGTCTAAGCAAACCTTTTTCTGGAACAGGTTAAAGGCCAGGGGGATGTCAGCCCCAGCGTGGGTTCAGGCAGGGAAGCACAGAGGGGGTGTGGATCATGGCTGGCCATGGCTGTGGAGTGGGGGACATGTCTCTGAAACAGCTGGGTCCCGGGGGGCAGGAGAAAGGGAGGCAGACAGTTCAACTCCCAGACACACAGCACCCTCCGCCCCCTGTCAGCCTCCTGCCGCCCCTGGGAGGTGGTGTTTGAGAGGCTCAGGCTGTTAGTGCTGGTGGGCTGGGCCCCTCAGTCCCGCCCCCACCCCCACCTCAGTGCCAGCAGCCAGAGTGCCCCTGCCTCCCTCCTTCCACTCCACAGCCCTCGCAGAGCCACGTGTCTGGCTGAGTGAAGCCGGGAATCAGGAAGGTCACACTTGGAATGCCTGTGATCACACGAAGCTCGTCTTAACCCTTGCACATCCACACTTGCATGTGCCTCATTCTGGGATTGTTGCATTCTTCAGCTTGATAATAGCCAGTCCTGGGGCAGGGTGAATTCCATGGGGTCCAGGCAGATTTCTGGAAGATGAGAGAAGCCACAGACTCATAAACTTATTCCCAAACCTACAGAAGAAGGAGAGACAACCCGGAAGGTTCAGAGGCCTTGGAGACTCAGGCAAAATGGCTTTCCCATGGCCAGGAGAGGGAGGAACGGCCCCCCTAACCCCCCATGCCACCGCCCCGGCTTCACCAACCCTTCTCAGATCCTCCGCACTGCTACCCGGGACCCAGCGTCCAGGCTTCCCAGCTGAAATGGGCTCAGGCTCCCAGACGGATGACATTTCGGTCCAAGAAGAAGTTAAGAGGCTGATTGGAGATTTCCCAGCAAGAAAAGACATGAGCTCATTAGAGCAGAAGGAACCGATTGGTTCCAGAGACCACCGGTTCTCATCAGCCAGGGCAGGAAGCAGAGCTGGGCATGTGTGAAGGCCAAGGAGCGGAAGCCCTTCCGAGGTTCATGCTCTGCCACAGGGCACCCTAGCCCGGGGCAAACTCCGTTAGGCTTTCCTCGGGAGCAGGAGTAGTGGAGAAAGGGAACGGGGAGGGTCCACGGGAGCTCAGCCTCCCGGCAGCCTGGTGGACATGTACCCCGTGCCCCGCACATGGCGATCACAGGCCGGGAGGTGACCTTGGATCTCGGGGGGGGGGGGGAGCAGGGGAGTCCCAAGGGTCCCGGTGTCTATGGGATTATCCCTTACTCTCAGCTCTCTCACGCTTTGCCGCTGGCTTCTGGTCAGGTGAGTGGACTCCACACTCATTTCACGTTGTCACGTGACAACTGGTTGCTCAGAAAGCTGGGGATGTTTTTGCGCTTCTGGGCTTTTGATCCTTGGGATATATTCTGGGATCTTCCGTCTGCGCGAGCGGAGGGCCGAGGACACACAGAACCGGAGGAGAACGGCGCCCAGCCCCACCCCCGACCCCCACCCCCACCACCCAGCATCTCTTCTGGAAGAAAAGAGCTGTGACGCAAGCCAGGCCAGGCTTGGCTTCCTTGGCTTTCTCTCTGTAACGGCCAAGAATCCCCTCTGCTTTAACCCTTGAAAGGAAGAAGCAGAGACTGCGGGCGCAGGGGACAAGCCCAGAGCCATCCAGGGTATGACGTCATCCCAGGGAGTGGGACCGGAAGTAGCCCCTTTAAGATTTTTTTTTTTTAATGAGGAAAGACCAGCGTCTGGGAGCACCCACCAGGATGACAGCCAGCTGCACCGTGATGCGAAACCGATTCCATTAGCTCTGAAGCCTGCAGAACGGATTGCTGGAACCATACCGTTCTAAACCATACCGTTCTAAACCATACCGTACCTCAGCATCTCACAGGAGTGGGTCTGGAGTCCATGTGACTGGACTGGGGTCCTACTCAGTTACTCCTGTAAGACAAAACCAAAGCGTTGGCCAGCTGAGCGCTCATCTGGAACTGGGGGGCAGGGGGGAAGGACACTTCCTCGCTCTTTCAGGCTGTTGACAAAATGCTGTCTCCCCAGCTGCGGGTCTGAGGTCCCATTTCCTGGCTGGCTGTCAGCCAGGCGCTGCTCGCTGCTCCCAGAGGCCAACCGCATTCCTCCTCTCATGGCCCCCTTCATCTTCAAAGCAAGGGCAGCACATGGAGTCCTTGCTGGGCTTTGAGTGTGGCTCTTCTGGCACCAGGCAGGGCAGCTACCCCCTGAGGCACTCCTGTGGTTAGATCAGGCACACCCAGATAAACTCCCCATCGCACATAAATGAGACTACCACCGTGGGCCACGGTCCTGGAGGCCAGCCTCCCATTCTCCCTACCACGCTCATCAAGGAAGGGGTCAGGCAGGATGCAGTTCCTACCCCATGTCCATAAACCCAGCACCAGGGAGGCCGAGGCAGAGGGATCGTGAGTTCAAGGCCAGCGTGGGCTACACGGTGAGATACTGTCTCAGGAAGAGGACGAGTAGGGAAGACGAAGGGAGGGAAATGGTCAAGGAAAGTCAAAATAGCTGGAAGTGGGAGATGGGGGTGATAAGGGTGTAAGTAATTAAAGAGGAGATGTGTTGAAAGCCTTTAACTGGGCCTCACGTGGTCCTCCATACCCACTAATAACCCCCCCAGTCAGTCCCCAGCCTCAGAAAAGTATTCATGTTTTCCCTTTCTACAGTTTTGCCTCTTCTGGATGTACCATCCACCTAGATTCACCCAGTGCCCGGTCTTTTTGTGTTGACTTAGAGTAATATTTTTACCTGTGATAATGATACATGATGTACCACGTACCTCTACATCAATGCTTCTTACTACATTTTAGATAATGTATGTCTATGACCGTTTTGCCTGTGTATATGTCTGTGGGCCATGTGGGTACCTGGTACCCAAGGGTGTCAAAAGAGGGCTTTCTATCCCTAGAACTGGAGTTCTGAACAGTTGTGAGCTGCCGTGTGGGTACTGAAAACAGACCCTGGGTCCTCTCTGCAAAGCAACCAATGCTCTCAAGCCAGCAGTCATCTCCCTGGGCCTCACCATCCCCTTTATGACTGAAACAACAATAATTCATCATATGGACTATTATGCTTCATTAATTCAATGATAGGTTGGTGGACATTCAGGTTGCTTCAACTTTAAGGCTATTGCGAATAAGGAAGCTGTATACATTTTTGCAGGGGCATATTTTTATTTCTGTTGGGTGTGCAAATGCTGGAGTAGGTGATAGCTCTGTTGTTTGCCTTTCAAGGTTTTTGAGGAACATTTTCATTTCAGAGGTTAACAGCAAAATGGTTTTAAAAAGTTTAAAAAGCCACCTTGGCAGGAAGTGGAAGAAAGATTGGGATTTATGAGGCAATGATTAAGGACAGGTCAAATGGATGAATATGAGACTCAATCATAGGCCTCCCGGACTCTAAGGAAAAATACACAGATCATGAGTGAGAGCGATATCACAACCCATAATTCAGTGTTAGAGGGAAAAAGTCACACCCACCCCTCAATGCAACATCCCCCAGCTTTACCCCCGGCTGTCAGAGCCCTCTGTCCACCAACCCTGAGCTGACCCAGGGCCTCCTGGGCACCACACAGAAGGCAAAGCCAAAGGGACAAGTTGGTAAACAGCTGATACAGTTTGTGTGCCCTGGAGCCGATGGCCTCTTTACAAGAGTAATCTAGACAGATGGTCGTAACAAGCCAAACAGCTAAGTCACCAGGCATTTCCAGCACACGGGCTTCAGGCAGTGCTCACACCATGGGGTCCGGGAGGGGGAGAAGAACCCAGAACTGACAAGTCTTTCTGCGGGAGTCACCGTGAAATGTTTAGGAAGAGATTTGAATGAGTAAATTACTTTTAGCCAGACAACGGTGAGAAGGAGAAGAGAGTGAAGGTGTCTTAAAAAAAAGAAAAGGGCCCCAGGTCTGAATGGGTTGGGAGGGGTGCTACCTCACGTTGGCCAAAAAGCAAACAAGGAAGACACACCATAGCCCCCAAAATCCTCTTCAAGGATGTTAGTCAGGGCCACACTGTTTTGTACTCCTCTACTAACTTGTCTAGATTCTTGTTCTCCCTTCCCTCGTAGCCGATTCTGTGTACAAACCCCAGGCGAACAGACCTCTCCCCTTCCCAACCTGCCTTACACAAATTGAAGATAGCCCGGCTGCAGGCACATTCTGTGGATCACCCATCAGTCCTGCCCCACCCCCTCTCACCTGAGATGTAGGAAGCAGAGCTGGAGAGACCCCTTCCTAGCATCCATATAACGGCTCACAGCCATCTGCAGCAGCTCCAGGGGAACTGATGTCCCTTCTGACCTCTGTTGTCACCTGCTAGCACAAGGCACACATACATAACCTCAGGTACACACACGTACACATAAAATTCATATTTTTAAACTTTAAAATAAATAAGTAGGGGCTGGAGAGATGGCTCAGAGGTTAAGGGCACTGGCTGCCCTTCCAGAGGTCCTGAGTTCAATTCCTAGCACCCACATGGTGGCTCATAGCCATCTACAATAAGATCTGGTGTCTTCTCCTGGCGTACAGGTGTACATGCAGATAGAACAAAGTATACATAATAAATAACTTAATAAATAAATAAGTAAAAATGCAATGTGTTAGAAGGGAGCCTCACTCTGCCCCATGGGCCTGGCCCCACTCCCGAGCCTCAGCAATGCTCTTGTCCACCCGCCCATCTACGGCAAAACACACAGGCAATTAAGAACACTAAAACAGATTTGCTAATAGACGCAGACACGATCTTTCCCTGGGGCAGAAGTCCACTGCATCCCTGTACGAGACTCATTTGAATTTTTGATCACAGTAATCAGCTGCGTCATCTCCACGACTTATCTGCCTCTACAGAGGCCTGTCTTTACAGACAGGAGGAAAGGTGGAAATCCACCTCCAGAGCTTCAGATAGCCTCAAGAAGGATACTCTAGGGACCACACCCTTGAAAGAAACCCAGCCGTGCCTGTGCCATTGCAAACTCTTCTGCAAATGTCCCTGGCAGTCTGAGGTATCAGAGGGATATTGTGGGATGTGCTGTGGTTGAACTGAGGCAACGAGGCCCAAGGGTTTTCTTCATTCCTGACAGGCACATCCAGAGACACCATGGGCGCTCGGGAGCCTAGAACCAGCTTTAAAAGGAGAGCCTTGTATTTCTCAGGTCCCTCCCTGTAGAGCATGTGATGCTCTCTGAATTTTCCGTTTCCTGACTCTTAACTCTCACTTCTATCATTTAAGTCTCACCCCTTGCTTGTTTTTGTTTTTGTTTTTTGTTGTTGTTGGTTTTTTGTTTTTGTTTTTTTTTTTTACTGTTTGAAGTTTTTTGTTTGTTTGTTTTTCAAGACAGGGTTTCTCTGTATAGCCCTGACTGTCCTGGACTCACTTTGTAGACCAGGTAGCCTCACATCGATCCACCTGCCTCTGCCTCCCCGAGTGCTGGGATTACGGGCGTGCACCACCACAGCTGGCTTAATTGCTGATTTCATTCTCCTGTCTCTACTACGAGAACGCAAACAACAAGAAGGCAGGTGTTTCTTGTTTCTTTCCCTTGTTTTTTGAGACAGGGCCTCTCTATGTAGCTCAGGCGGTCCTGGAGCTCACTTTGCATACCAGACTGGCCTCCGTCTCACAAAGACCCTCCAGAGGCAGGTGTTTCTTCTGTATTGATGGTTGTGGGACCCTCACTGCCTATGATAATGTCAGGAATAAAGAGCAAAGGCTGCTGGAGAGGTGAATGGGTGACCAAGAGGAACCAGCTCCCACAAACACCACATCTTACTGGCTGACTGGCTGAACACCTTTCTTGCTAGGGAAGACACTTTGAAGTGAAAACGCTCAAGGGTAAGCCCTGACAGCTCCAGAGGGGCTGCAGAGTGACGAGTGGTGCTTTATCTTAGCCCTGCCTGGAGAACTATCTGTGCTCTGTGTTACACCAGATTCCGTCTTAATTCAGGACGTTATTCTACTCTTCTTGAAGGAGGAGTTAATATTAATAATCACCAGCAAGTTGCACTGAGTCTTACAGGCACAAAGCCAAGCCCAGGGTCTCATCTAATCCTCTCAACAGCCGTACAAAGCAGATGTCACCATAACTCTCCGTTTACAGACCAAGAAAAGATGACTCACAGGTTTGGCCGACTTTTAAAATTACTATCTGGGGCTGGAACAATGGCTCAGTTAAGTGCACCAGCTGCTCTTCCGGAGGACCTGGGTCTGGCTCCCAGCACCCACATGGGGGTTTGCAACCACCTGTAACTCCAGTTCTGGGAGATCTGACACCTCCTTCTGGCCTCTTTGGGTACCAGGCATGGATGTGGCATCTACACGTGAAAGAAAGAAGGAAAGAAAAATAAGTAAATATCCAGTTCACTGACATGATTGAAATTAGAAGACTTCCTCTC